ACTCACTACTCTTCCCGCACCCTGTGATTTAGGGTCATGGCTACAGCGCTATTACGCATGGCTTTCTCCCGTGTCCCTTATTATTTCCATCCACTCTCTTTTCTTCGACACGTCAAGTTACTACCTCTAATGGAGACCCCTCCTTCAAAAGCATCCTTCTGCGTAAACTGAGTCCGTTTTCTCCCTCCCCTAGCAACCTGCTCCTCCTGCCCCCAAACCGAAAAAAGTCCCCACCCCGACCTCTTCGGGGGTCTCCCTTCGTCTCGTCGCGCCGTGCCAGCCTCCGCAGAGAGGAGAAAAGAGAAGCACGAGAACAGCGAAAAAGAACTGAAGGAAGAAGAGACAGCGGAGCCATGGCACGGCCACCCCGAGCGCATCTTCCGCGGCGAGGAGCGCGCGTCGCACGCTTCCTGTTCGCCGAGATCCGGCGGCACGAGGCGCTGCGGTTCCTGCGGGACCTGCAGGCGCGGTTCGCGCGGCGCGACACGTTTCTCGCGACGACGGCCGCGGCGCCGGATGAGGACCTCCTCGTCGCCATGACGCTGCGCGACTGCTCCCTGTTCTTCCGGTACGAGGACGGCGAAGACGGCGCGCTGCGGCTGCTGGACTTTACGCTGGCGGACCTCGACAAGAAGATGCCCTCCAAGATTCCGAGCTGGCAGAAGACGGAGAGGGAGCTCATCGACGGGGGTTGGTATGAGGGCAAGCGGGGCTGTGGCATGCCGAATTGCTATCTGAAAGAGGGCCGGACCGAGGACGTGACGAGAGCGGATGAGACGAGGCTCAAAGATGCCTCCAGGTTGGGCATGGCCTACAAGGATTAGAGTTCGTCTGCCGTGGGGAGCGTGGGTGGGGGGGTTAGACAAAATCCGTGACGCGGCGCAAGCTGCATGCCTCGATATTGAGGTTAGTCATGGATCATGGACGCTGCGAAGGGTGTGTATTCATTCTATCAAGCCGACTAACGTGTTCGCGTCCAGAAATCTCAAACATTCTATCATACTAGGAAACGTGTACTGAAATCTCAGCTGCGGAACTACGCTTTGATCTTGTCTCGCGTTCTCCGATACTCGTAGTCCACAGCCCGATCATACGGCTTCTCCAGAACGACATCAATCAACTTTTCGGTGCCCAGCTGAACGGCTCCGACGATCAGGACCTGTTCCGCCACAACAGCCCCGGATTCTTCCCATTGGTGTTCGTCCTCAACGCACTCCTTGCCGGCTGGCTCCCCACTGGCAGCCCCGCCATCGAGGCCCAGCACTTCCTGAGTTACGCTCACGGGCCTACTGGCAATATCAGTCGTGTTTTCCAATAACGAGTGGTTCAGTCGATGCTCCGAGTCCCAGTCCAGCACGGAGCACGTGCTGATGGGCGAGCTGAACGAGAAGATCGTAGCGTGCTCTGCCATGAACGAGCCCGCATGCCGCAGCCACGAAGCAACAGCCATCGAGCCGGCGCCGACCTCATCGTGACCCAGCGTCAGGACCGTCGTCATCAGTTTGGTCGCGGCGCCTTCGATCAAGCCCCTGGCGATGATTCGCTTCTTGATGCGGATACCAGCACTCTTCAGGGCCCGTTTCAGGTCGCGGAGCAGCTTGATGTTGCGGGCCAGGTCGCAGGCGTTGTAGACGCCAGACATGAGCAGCCACGGGAGCTTGATGGAGAGGATGCCTGAGATGAACACCCCGAGACCGCTGCGGCTGATGTTGCGGGCAAGCTGTCGATACTGCTTCTCGGATTGGCTGAGGGCTGTCATTTTCGGCAAGGTATCGGGGGAGAAAAGGAGTTGGTTTCGTCTCGGCTGGCTTGGTCGTTTTAGATAGATCAGTCTTGCGGAGAGCCGTCAATAGTTTGGGGAAGGAAAGAGTTGCTCGTTTCGAAAGATAGCCGCCCTGGGCTTAAGTACTGACAATGCAGCATGGACTTTGTCACGTACATCAGCCTTGCTGGAGGCCTGGGGGCTGAGAAGCTCATGGTAACACAACCCACACGAAAATCTCGTGTTGTCTGTTGAGCTGTGAAGATGGAAGGCTTCAGCCCACACTAGTCAGATCAATGGTGACGAGCCCAGCCTCACAGCCTCAGCTTCAGCGTGGTGTTTGATCCACGTTCTCGTGGGATAATCGAATGCGTAACACTTTGGGAAATGGCCGCCCCTTACTAGACTCATTGTAAGTTTTTCCGAATAAGCAGGCTCACAAGTTGAGTCTGCTCAAGTCTGAGCGCCATAGCCCCAATGATTATAGAAGTGCTGAACAAGGCTATGAAGAGGACTACATAATAGACAGTACTCCATGTGTTCCAGATAACGAGGCAGCCTTCAGCTGGCTCCCGGAGGGCAGCCAAAGACGACGAGCACTCACACGGCCGACATGTCAGATGATCGATCAGCCCCCGACGCCTCTCTGGGGCTGTTCTCGTCTGTGGCTTTCCTGGAGACCTCCAGTTGCCCATCGCGTATCCTCCGATTGTGCGTAGACCGCCATCTCAGCTCGCTTGTTACAATGTCGTGGCAGACGGGCACGACGCTGGTGCCCCTTTTCTTCAGCGTCCATTGCGACCTAGACTCTGTCAGCCTCGTGCCCTCGCCAGGCCACTCACTGCCGTGGCTTTCATTGAGGCACAGCACCCTCTTTATGCCCCGGTATCACGATTTGCGCCGTCGGCGGTGGCTTTGCTGGCGGTCGTCAGGCGTACTGGCTGAGCGTCACATACCGAATCCCAGCCGCAAGATCCCTCGTAGCCTTACGAGAGCCTTTCACCTTGTGGATAGCAAGTGTGGCGTAATACTTTGACACATAGGACTAGCTCTCAAAGCCTCTCATTTCCAGGAACTAGTCTTCACGGACTGAAAGAGCTTCACCTTTCCGAGCAAGCAGAGAGCAGAGAGCCCAGATTTTCCACACCTCAAGCCCACGCCACGCCAATTGCTACGGTCAGGAAAGAAGAGCACCTATAGCTTGGCCCTCCGTCTTGAAGTGCTCCGCATGTGCTTGACAAGAACCTCCAAAGCAGCTTGAATGCTGCGCCTTGATTCAGTAGGATCTCCTGAGCGCAGAGGGGTAGACTTGGAAAGTCGAAGCCAGAGACGGTACCACCCCTCACCCACACGAGCAGGAAAAAGCAAGGATGCGGATCACGCCAAGACGAAACACAATCTTCGCCAGTGTCCTGACGTGTATTGACAGCCAATGTCATCATTTACGACAGTCACCCCGAACCCTCTGACCATTTCTGGGTATCTTGCTAAGAAAACAGCTCGAAAACGTCGTCACGTCGTCCAGGGAAAGAAGTTGAACATGTGTCAGATCCTAGCAACACTCTATGCTCATTGCCAGCAGTACACAAGTAGGGTGTCCAACGTCGTTCACAACTGTAAATCTATCGCCAATCAAATGCCAAACATGCCCAAGTATCGCGCACAAAAGTTACCAACCAAACGCCATGATGCCCCCCTCTAAATCCCCGCGACCGTAAAGCTCAAGATGCTGCCCACCGTCAGCCCCGTCACAAGGCACAGCCCCATGAAGCCGCCGGCGACCTCCCTCTCCCCCTCGTCGACCCACTCGCTGCCGGCCATCATGCAGCTCGCGCCGAGCCAGCCGTTGGTGAGGCCAAAGGGGAATTGCACGACGACGAGGTAGAAGAGGTCGCTCGCGACGACGGCACCGCGGCCGTTGACGTTGCAGAGCAGGTAGAGCGGCAGCCAGACGAGGCGCGCGACGGCGAGGGCCAGCAGCAGCGGCGGACGGCTCCGCAGGCTGAAGGGCAGGGCGGTGGCCATGCGGCCGGCGAGGTCGCCGGCGTTCCACACGAAGAAGGCGAGGGGGATGAAGGCGGCGGGGCGGAAGAGGGAGCCGGAGCCGGAGCCGGCGGCGCCGTCATCGGTGGTGCGCACGGAGAGGATCTTGCCCGTAAAGACGGGGAAGAACATGGAGACGGCGAAGCAGAGGGCCACGGCGGCCGAAAGCCAGTGCAGCTTGCCGAGGAGCGTCAGCGGGGAGACGGTCTTGCGGGGATGGCCGCCGACGGTGGAGATGCTGGCGTGCGAGGCCGACATGTCGATGGGCGTCGCGGGAGTCGACAATCTGGTTGTGGCGGCGGACGGAA